CCATACATACTAAATATGCATGATATGCCAATGCATGAACTATGAAAACTTTCAAAACCATGCTCTGATACCAATTGACACGACCCGTCTCAAATCACCCTAGGGGACCCGAAACATGACGTGCGCCGATGATAGATGCTGACTAGATGCCAGATCCATCATCAAGGCTGACTATGAATTACTACAAAATACCAAAAATCACATGTTTATGAAAAATATAATGCGATGGGCCCAAGATAATTATTTTGTGCTCTACCAAAATGCATCATATCGTGTGGCTATAACTCTGAAATCATCAGGCTCCTCAAACTATCAAGAACCAATACCACCTATATGGAAAATTATGGGGAAAAAATATGAGCTAATAGCCCAGTGAGTGGAAATTTCTAGAATAATTATACTTTCTCATTTATATACTTTTATTGAAAATAGAGTTTACATCACTTACAAGTTACAATATAGCATCATATAATAACAATCAAGATAGAAACCATTCCTGTAATACTCAAAACAACATCATCTCGCAGACATGATAATATCATCAATGTAAACTTGAAGTATTCTCATTTGATTATCAGAGGTACATCCCCTGACAGCCTCCATAATCACAATATCACAACCGAGTGGACCATCCTCCTGTAATCACCAGAGGTACATCCCCTGACAGCCTCCATGATCACCCAAGAAGTGTCCCACCCGAGATGCTAACGACCACCATATCACACAACACAAGCAAGCGGTCAATCATCCCGTGATCACCAAAGGCACATTCCCTAACTACCATCATGATCACCAGAGAAGTCTCACATTCCAATTCACAACTAATCCATACACAATCTTTAAAATTCCACACTGATGTATGTGAAATCAACTCGGTTGCTAGATTGTCCTGATATCCATATCGTCACCTGAGAGATAAACAATTGTATCATTACTCATTCTCTTCGATTTATACTTTTCCTATAAGTAGCAAAGTAACAAATTTCTTTCTTTCCCTTTAAACTGTGTTCAACTAATGTTCAATTCCCCTTTAACTTCTTTTCTAATGAAAGTATATTACCCATTCTTATCCAATCAAGTTCATTTCTGTACCTGCCTTTTTTTCCAAAAGATTTTAATTCCCTGTGGTTTCTTCTCACCCCCAACACAATTCAATTACATAATTTAATTCTATAGGAATAAACATATCAAACAAGTTTTCTAAAATTCCAATGTCTGATTTTATATAATAGTTAGATAGTAAAATAAAAGTTAACTATTGATTCTCATACCTATTGTAATTAAATTGATATCACTTACAAATTCTTCCTTCCATTTTTTTTATATATAAATAAAATAAAATCTAACATTTGAAACTAACAATTGAATTGTAAATTCTTTCAACTGTTATACGAAAACAATTAAACCAATTCTATCGCAAGACTTTCCTCTTACCTTGCACTGTTGTAACAAGGATTAATTTTTCAAGCCTAAGTTTCCTCTTCTTTTTCTTCTCCCTCTTTTTCTTTCCTTTTTCTCTGGTTTCGTTCCCTGCCCTGTTCTCTGCCCTCTCTCCATTTTCCCAAATTTTTTGAGCAAAAAGGGGTGGATAAGTTTAATAACTATAATATAATTGCAACTCAAGTCTCCAAGCCTCTTACAATATCACATTTAGTCCTTTCATATCCAATAATATAAAGTAAATCCCTAGATTCCTTTGTATACTATTTCTAGCCTTTTAAGTATTAATAATTACAAAT